TTCCATGCTTGCATAGACCTCTTATTAAAGTGTTATACACAATTTTATCAGGAGAACAACCCTGTGCATTCATTCTGTTGAAGAGACTAACAGCAAGATCAATTTCGCCACTTCGGAAATGCCCATCAATTAGAATAGTAAAAGTAACTTGATTCGGTTGGACGCCCTCACTTTGCATCATATCCAGGTGCTTATATGCATCCTGCATCTTCTCTGCCCAGCAAAACCCTGAAATTATGCCATTATACAAGTACAAATTTGGCATTAGGGGAGTGTTCTTCACTTTGTTTATCAGCCTAAGTGCAAGAAATTTAATTTGTTCCTGAGAGCTAATTGAGATTTTCAAACATTTTTCCCTAGAAAACATAGCACTCTGATGAAGTAGACGAAACAACATTTCCTTGGATTTTTCATACTGTTTCTGCGGAACAAGCCACTTCCCGTGAAGTGACCTAATATTTCTAGAGACGCCACTGACCAAAGTAATATAGGTTACCAGGTCTCGCTCAATCTCACTTCTTTCCATCAAATCAACCAACTTAAATGCAAATTCAAACTCTCTTTTCCTTAAAAATTGTTTTATTAGAGAAGTATAAAGAACAGTATTTGGCATGAAACCTTCTTCTATCATTCGATCAAGGTATACACAGCCCTTTTCAATCATGTTCTTCTTAACTAACCCATGTATAAGAGCAGTATAAGCATAGTGGCTTGGTTGAACTCCATCTTCCAACATTTTGTCGAAGAGCTCATGGGCTTGAATAGCTCGTCCATTTATTGATAGAGCATTAATCATTGTCACAAACATAGTTTCATCAGGATATATTCTAGCCTCGAGCATTCTCCGGAAAACTTCAAGGGCCTCATCTATTCTCTTTTGTCTTCCCAAACACCCAATGATGGAGTCATATATCGCAACACTAGGCTTCAATCCACTCTCTTCCATTTGGTCCAGAACTTCAAATGCTAATTGTATGTCACCCTGTTTGCAGTATTCATTCACCATAATCAAGAATGTTGCTTGATTTGGAACTTGACCTTGATCTTGCATAACTTCAACAAAGGATTTGGCATCCTCAAGTAGTCCGTTTTGGTAAAGGCACTTGATCATAGAGTTATAAGCTGACAGTGAAGGCTGAAGAGAAAGGCTTGATCTTGTCCATGCAAAGAAGAGCAGAATCAAGTTTTCCTCCTAAACATAAAGCAACCATGTATATATTGAAAGCAACATTGGCCAGAGATAAGTTTCTTGCCACAATTTCTCCCAAGAGATGATCAATATCAGACATGATATTTGTAGTAACTTTTTGACTGGTAGTGCTAGGGATGTTAGAAAGGTCAATACCACAACCATTTTTGGCAATTGCCCGCAAAAAGGTGCATGCTAGAGTAATCTCTGACCCTCTTGGATGATTGTTGACCAAGGTAAAAAACAAAACATGGTCAGGAACCAATCCATTATCCAACATCTTATTGTACAAGATATCTACTTCTGCTAACCGATTCTCTTTATAAAGCGCAGCAATTAAAGCAGTATAAGAGTGCACACTGGGAGCAACGTTGCACTGAATCATGTTATTTAACAGCATCAACGCACAATCAACTTTATGATCCTTGCAATACTTGCCAATCATGATTTGGTAACTTACTGCATCAGGTTCTAATCCAAATTCAGCCATCTGCTGATGTAGCACCCAACCCTTGTCCAACATGCCCAAGTTAAAAAACCCGTGCACCAGCGTGTTGTAAGTATACTTATCCGGTGCACATCCCAACTTAAGCATTCTAAGAAACACCCTCATAGCCATTTTCATTTTCTTGTTCTTCGAATACCCGTTAATGAGAGTTGTGTGCATGACTTTATCCAGAACAAAACCATAAGACTCCATATCCATGCTCAACAACTCAGCTTCCTCGACTCGACCCCTCTTACACAACGAAAGAACCAATGTCTTAAACAAATGAACATTGGGTGTCACCCCTCTCTCACACATTACATCAAACACATAGAGTGCCTCATCTAAGAACCCCCGATGGCACAAGCCATCCACTAACCTATTGTAACAACTGAAACTTAGTGATACTCCAGCATCAACAGCCACTACAAAAACATCAAACCCATCCAAGATGCTATGTTGGCCACAAAATCCCTTAATAAGCGCATTACACGTGCTACTACAAGGCCTCAATTTCATATCCAATAGTTTATCAAAAAGCAATTTTGCTTCCTATAATTTACCCAAATTACAATAACAAATGGCCACTGAATTCAATAAAGACTGGTCTTTCGGTTCAATACCTCTCTTCAAAATGCAATATACATAAATATCTTCAGCCATTTGGGTTTCACCAGATGCCACGAGTTGTCGAATGAGAAAACTGTAGCTAGTTGCATCAGGCTCGATACCGCGAGAAATGGAGAATTCAACAGCTGAGATAGCTTCAGAGACTGGTGAGGATTGCTTGATGATTCTCTGAATCACTTTCTGAGCTGAACCGAATAACCCGCGAAGTATTAACTGCTCTGCAAGTGAAAAACACAAGGTCTTGTGATTATTAATTGGGGAGGATGTGGGAATTAGCACATGATATTGCTTCAGTAGGTAAATGGCAAGCAGTAAAAGGTCTCTTTGTTGTTCTAGAGAGATAGGAGAAGCACAGCCAATGGTGTAGTCCAAGTCTATGCTTGCTCATGGCGTTGGTCAGGAACTGAGAAAAGACCGCCGGCGACGTGGGGAGGAAAGAGACGGCGGGTTCCGCATTTTTTAGGTTAATAAGGTAACGTCGTAAAGACAAACGATTTAATTTCTGTTAACATATACATTTGTACCTCATAAATTAATCACAACTAATTCGGACTAGCATAATATGGTCGCTTTGGAAGTTTAGAAATTTATTCAAATTGAATAAGATTATTACTATTGCTGACTTGTTTTGTACCCTTTTAATTGTATTTTATAATTCAAACAAATAGTAGTTTTTATGATATGTATTTGATTTTGAAAATCTTAATTTTTAATTAAAATATTGTAACAATTGACACGATTTATACATGCAATGCTAGAAACAAAAACAAAAGAACCCAAAAAAAGGAAAAGAAATAATTAGAATCTAAATCTATATCTATATATATATTAAAACAAGAAAGTTTGCATTGTGGTTAAGCAAAGTGGCAAGTTACTATAAAGCCACTTGGCAATCTTAAAGAATTTGTGGGAGATTGTCAAATAAGGAAATATTACTTAAGAACTATATATGGAATTTTTTTTATTAAAATAAGAATTTTTTTTTTTAAATAAAGTTCAATCATTGTACTAATTTTTTCTAACTGAAATTTTTTATTTGGAAAGTAAAGAATTTTGATATCAATAGTATTTGGATTCATTTTCTAATAT